CTATACCATGTGAATCGTAAGGAAACAATCTGTGATAGAAGAGAACAGCGAGTTCCAAGTAGCAGTTTAGAAGATGAAGATGCGATCACTGGAACAAGAAATTTATTGGCCCGACGTTTCGGATTCTCACGCGAATCCATCATCAGTGACAGTCGCAGATAAGGGTAATGGTGGCACAAGGAGTGCAGTATTTATAGCACGTGGCTGCCGTGGCACCATATGCGTGATGTAATTAACAGCTCTCACAATCACCGCTGGGGTCGTAATTGATGCAATGGTGGCTTGTTAGTCCGCGTGCGAGTCATTAATGGCCATGGTTTCGTCATCCGTGTTGGATGCTGGTGTGACGATTGCTCGGCAAATTGGCTCACTGTCACCGGGATAATTGCTCGCCCGCGCCCTCCTCACGTGACTGATTCACCTACCCAGGGAAAATCTCAGCACGAAATATGGTAACGGGAGCTCATTCCGCTTCTTGATGGATTGCGGACCTGAAAACAATGACTTGAGCAGCTCGCGGCTCACGCGGTTGTCACCCCTTGCGAGGATTTCGGCCTCTTTAAACTTGAAAATATGACCGGGTCCCGTCGAATGGGCCGCCACCTGAGAGGTAGCGTCTCCCCGCCTCACTGCTGCTGCGTGCTCGACAATTCGCATACAAAGTAATCTCGCAGTTTCTCCGACGTAGTTGCTTTGTCCGCAACTGCACCAGATCCGGTGAACGACTCTTGAAGTTTCCTGTCGTGGCAGTGGATCCTGCGACCTCATGACTTGGCGCCTGAGGGTTGCTTCCGGCCTGAGTGCAACCCCAACCCCAAGTGGAGTGAGAAGACGACCGACGGCTTCCGATACGTTCTTCACGTACGGAAGAGCCCGCCAAAATTTGAGGCCGGTTGGATTTGCTCTCTGGTGTCATTTTCGTATGCACTGATTGACAAAGTTACGCGAGTAATCATTGGCTCGCAGTACCGTCGAAGATATTGTAATTCAGCAACTTCGTCTTCCACTTCATTGCATTTCGGCGCTTTGAGACGCACTGTAGTGAACTGGAAGACGAATTTGCTGAATTACAATATCTTCGACGGGTACTGGCAATTTATGACTCGGACGCGGACTAACAAGCCACCATCACATCACTACGACCCCAGTGGTGATGGCGAGAGCTGTTAATTACTGCACGCATATGGTCCCACGCAGCCACGTGCTATAAATACTGCACTCCTTGTGCCACCATTACTCTTATCTGAGACTGTCTCTGATGATGGATTCGAGTGAGAATCCGAAACGTCAGGCCAATAAATTTCTTGTTCCAGTGATCGGATCATCGTCTTCTGGAAACAATCTCACCGACAGGGCAACGGACTCGTGACCCGGTGGATAGAGGCGTGGACTTCTAAACTAACAGGTCGCTAGTTCGAGGCTCGGATGTTCCACACTTCGGGCTTAGGTATGGCTGGCTGACGACGGCTAATAAGCCAGAAATGGCCATTCCAGTCTCCCTTGTCTTTGTCGGTAATACCATTCTGCCTATATATCATGCGCCGCTGTGCGGCTGCTGGTTAGGCTCGAGAGAGAGAGCCCTTAAGGCACAACGGAACGAGTGAGTTCCGTAAGAACGATCGGTGAGCGCCCCCTACCATTGTATATTCCCGATCGAAAACCGACAGGGCAACGGGCTCGTGGCCCGGTGGGTAGAGGCGTTGACTTCTAAACCAATAGGTCGCGAGTTCGTGGCTCGGGTATTGCACACTTCGGGCTTGGGTATGGCTGGCTGACGACGGCTAATAAGCCAGAAATGGCCATTCCAGTCTCCCTTGTCTTTGTCGGTAATATTATTCTGCCTAAATCTCACCTGAGTCCACAAAACCAGGCCGGGTCTACTTACAACGAGCGAACATCATTCAACGTAATAAAAAAGTGACCTCTTGTAGTGCGCTCACCGTTGGAGATACGAGCACGGTTTCTGACGATGTGAACCCTGTCCTCCCCCTCCCTCCCCTAATTAATTTAAGTTTCGTGACCTGACATTGTCTACCACCTCTGTAACCGCATATTCGGTCCAGATAATGTTGTATTTATGCTTTGACTGAAGGCAAAATATTAGCTGATGGGATGAGGACGCATTAATCGATAATCAATGATCAACACTATCATTGGTTCGGAGGTCTTTTTACAGATCTCAAATAACTCACTTTGATCTAGCTACCACCTTCCATTGAGGCAGGATTTTCCGACCAGTTGTAACAGTATGATCTTCTAATTGGTGGGCCTTTTGAGATTGCCGTTAGACGCGATCTGAATTACGTGAGTCTGGTAGTCATCTGGTGGATTCTATATGTATTACTTAGGAGATCCTGCTTGGGCAGTCAACTTACTGTATCAGACTTGGTGGATTCCAGACTTTGCAGTAGGTTGGGCGGGTAACTTGACTTAAGTGTGATTAAACTCGCGTAGTCCGGCGAGGCCTCGTAGCTCAGATGGTTAGAGCGTTGGCTGTACTAAGGCCACCCCTTGCTGTTGTTGGTTCGAATCCCACCGAGGCACCGATTTTTTCACAGTTGGATCAAAGTTAGCCATCATTGGTGTCATGCCATACTTTCAAGCGAACCACTAGTCTTCTGTTACCGCCTCAACATCACACTATTTGTGTTCTTCTAAAACGGTAGGTAAGTAGTATGAAAGTAGCACATGCGCACATAAAAATGCGATCCACACACACACATGCCACTTCCTCGCGAAGCTTAACCTCGAGTCTCTTCATCTTGCTGATGGAAACATGTCGGTTTCAGCCAACACTAGGTGGGGGAACTTAAAGAAACGTCTGCTTGTCTGCAGTCTAGATGACCGCAGCACCAGACCGTTGTAAGCGCACACTGAGTAAGTGCAGTTCTCTATTTCCGATCAGTGTGAGGTGTTTTGACAAGCAATAAACTCCGCTCAGAATATATGCTCGTGGGAGCCCGAGTACGACCGCGTCTAATGACAATCTAAAAAGGCCCACCGCTTAGAAGATCATACAACCAGTCGGAAAGGCGTGCCTCAGTGGAAGGTGGTAGCTTTTATTTGATGGCTATTGAGAAGGGATAGGCGGCAAGGCAGGAATCGGGAGACAATGCACCGTTCCAAGCAGTCCAACTGGCAGAGGGGTGGAAGTGCGCTTTGGACCAAGGATATACGGTAGATGTGCTAACTCATGAAATGTTGACCGAAATTTGGAAATGCGTTTTCTATGCGAAAAGTTTACCTGAGTAGGGCTGTAATATAAACTATCATGTAGCATAATACCAAAATAGTTAGGTCACTTCAGGATTTTGGCTTTAGAATGAGCTCCTTGCTGACCGCCTGCAAAAATTACAGTCTGTAAAAAATGTCTACTTATGTAGCCTGAAGTTTTCATATTGATTTTCGATGCCTTTATAAGTTCAAATTTATCTCACTGAAGAAGTACATAAAAATGTTCATTCTTTTACTCATTTGGTAGTAAATTACGTCTTCCTCAAGTTTTGTACTCGAAGGAGGGGTATAATTCGCTTTCAGAAAAGTTTTCAATTATGGGATTTTTCAAGACCGTGAAATGCCCGTTCATAAAGCCTCGTGTCTCTGCATTCACTCGTGTTGCTTGTGAACTTTACAATACGGCCTAACTCTACTGCTAAATTTTATGAAACCCATACGACTTCCTCTTAGTACTATAGAGCAATGTATGGTTTCCCGTACTCGGAAAATATACAACCTGTAGATTGCAAAACCTAAGTGCAAGTGTGCCGGCAGGTTGTGTTTAAAATTGTTCGGGAATAAGAAAAGTTTTTTAAAACCGAATTATACCGGTCCTTCGAGTACAAAACTTGAGGAAGACGTAATTTTCTACCAGATGAGTAAAAGAATGGACATTTTTATGTATTTCTTCAGTGAGATATATTTAAACTTATAAGGCCACCGAAAATCAATAAGAACAATTCACCTTACGGAATTTGCTCTCTAGTCAGAAAAATTCAGGCTACATAAGTAGACATTTTTTACAGACTGTAATTTTTGCAGGCGGTCAGTAAGGAGCTCATTCCAAAGCCGAAATCTTGACGTTACCCAAATATTTTGGTATTATGTAACATTATATTTTATATTACAGCTATACTCAGGTACTCTTTTCGAATAGAAAACGCATTTCAGAATTTCGGTCAACATTTCATGGGTTAACACATCTACCGTATTTAATGCTATATTCCCCATTATGTGATGGAAATAATATCTCCTTTCTGACCCAGTTAGGGATCCAAAAAGATAATTCGAACGAAAATGACTTCAATCTATCTACAAAAGAGGCCAAAATATTTTTGGGGGAGTTTAAAAACATGAAAGGGGATCCGCGGACGCGAGAGGAAGAACATGCCAAAAAAACGTTGCCGCACAAGGCTTACCTGGGTTTGGAAATGCAAAAAGCGTGCGACCCCGTACTACTTGGTAGCGAATGGAAGGGTCATATTTCCAGGTCAGGGGCTTTACGGGAAGGTGATGCCCGGCAGCGTGCCTTAGACCAGCGGTTTTTGTGAGCTTTGAAGGTCGGTCTGAGAATTCGTCTTAAAGTGAGAAGTAACAGCCATATCCTCGTTACTGGCAACAGAAGGGCAGGAATTAACATTCAGCGGACTAGGTTTGGTCTTCTTATTTGCCGACCAATCCACAGAAGTACTGGCATCACGTGAAGACGCGGTCACCTCCTGAGCAAATGTACCTCCTCCCAATAATTCTTTATTGGCTTTAAGGAACACGGCAGTTTGTTCAGCTAGAAGGTCATAATAGCCACATTGAGAATGCGCCAAAGAGCATGCTTCTGCCCTACGTGAGAGGTGTCTATTTTGTCTGCGTGGTGTTTAATGTTGGACGGGTTCACGTATGGTGTATGAGCTGATTTGGAGATGTGTGGTGATAAGGGTTTTGTCTGTTCAGAAGATGAAGATGCGATCACTGGGACAAGAAGTTTATTTGCCTGACGTTTCGGATTCTCACTCGAATCCATCATCAGAGACATTCGCAGATAGAGGTGAAGGTGGCACCAGGAGTGCAGTATTTATAGCACGTGGCTGCCGTGGGACCGTATGCGCACTGCAATTAGCAGTTCTCACAATCGCCGCTGGGGTCGTAATCGATGCGGTGGTGGCTTGGCGGTCCGAGTCCGAGTTGTTAATCGTCGCGATTTCGTCATCCGTGCTCGATGCTGGTGTGACGATTGCTCGGCAAACTGGCTCACTGTCACCGTGATGATTGCTTACCCGCGCCCTCCCCACGTGACTGATTCTCCTGCCCAGGGAAAATCGCAATACGGAATAGGGCACCGGGAGGTCATTGTGTTTGTTGATGGATTGCGGGCCTGAGAACCATGACTCGAGCAGCTCGCGGCTCACGCGGTTGTCACCCCTTGCGAGGATTTCAGCCTCTTGAAATTTGAAAATATGGCCGGGACCCGTCGAGTGTGCCGCCACCTGAGAGTTAGCGTCTCCCCGCCTCACTGCTGCTGCGTGCTCGGAAAGTCGCGTACGGAGTAATCTCCCAGTTTCTCCGACATAATTGCTTTGTCCGCAACTACACCAGATCCGGTAAACGACTCCAGACGTTTCCTGCCGTGGCAGCGGGTCTTTTGGCCTCATTACTTGGCGTCTAATGGTTGCTTCCGGCCTGTGTGCAACCCCAACTCCAAGTGGAGTGAGAAGACGACTGACGGCTTCCGAGACGTTCTTCACGTACGGAAGAGCCCGCCAAAATTTGGGGCTAGTTGGATTTGGTCTCTGGTGTCCTTTTCGTGTGCACTGGTTGACAAAGTTGCGCGGGTAGCCATTGGCTCTCATTACCCGTCGAAGATATTGTAATTCAGCAACCTTGTCTTCCATTTCACTGCAGTGCGTCTCAACACGCCGGTATAGCGTCCTTACGCAACTGCGTTTGTGACTGATTGGGTGGTTGCTATTGAAGTTCAGTATTTGCGTCGTATTTGTCGCTTTCCTGAACACTTTGGTTTTTAGGCCACCACTATCTTTGCGGCAGACGAGGACATCCAGGAAGGCCAGCTGATTGTTTTCCTCCTCCTCCTCCTCCATCGTAAATTGAATGCCCGGGAAGACGGCGTTGAGTTGTTCTTTGAAAGTCAGCACCTGATCCCGTTCGATGACGACGAAGGTGTCATCCACATACCGAGCCCAGAATTTCGGTCTTTGGTGTCGGAAAACCAGCGACTCCAGCCGTTGAAGGACCGCCTCGGCTATGAGTCCCGAAATCGGCGAACCCATTGGCGTTCCCTTCACCTGCTCGTAGATTGTTCCGTCAAATGTAAAGTACGTCTTGAGACAGAACTTCAGGAGCTGGATGATTTGGGCGTGTCCGAGGCGATTCTCCGTTTCATCGTACTTCTCTCGTAGGAGTAGTTCGATTGTCTCGACTGCCAGGTCCTGCGGGATAGAAGCAAAAAGGTTTTGTCTGTGTTGATTTGCTACAGGTTTAAGTGGATGCGCAAATGGCCGGGCAGGTTGATGTGGTGGCCAAATGTGCATGAGCAGCGCTAGCAGTCAAGGTTAGGGCGATGGGTGTCCGCTGGTGCCTCTGATTTTGATTCGCCTGTCTCGGTACGATGGATTCGCAAGTAACCAACTAGGCCGATGCGTCATGTCCGTAGGTTGTGGTGGTATAGGCAGGATTGGTTGGCAGCTGACTGTAACAGTGCTCTTGTGTGTGGCGACGCTGATAGGGGGATTCCGATCTGTTCACGCGTCCTGCATTACTCGCAGCCTCTACAGTACCAGACATCAAGGGCGGAAGAGGACAACTTGGATTGCATCGGTTCCCCTAAAGAAGTGAGCGTTGAGCCGCCTTTTCTCTTCTCAGTGACGTTTTCGTTGATTTTGTCAAACCGACCCTACTTTTGGCGACGTACTCGACTCAGAACATACATGGCTGTGCAATGAGTACTGCTCCGCATTTGGCACCGCCGTGTCTCCGCGGTGGCGTTGTAGTCCGGAGCCTGCAGTTCCCCCATGTTGTGGGCCACTTTATTGTTAAAACGTAGGTGGTAACCAGACGACTTCAACAGAACAGTATTCAACATACCGGGTAGTGGCTTACCTTGCGGTCTCTCTGTGGAACACGAAGACAATAAAATGAAGTTTGTAGTCGTCATCCAACGAACAAAATCTTACCCTGTTTTTTCAGTAAATGTTTTTTTCGTTATTACTGCGCTGGTTGTCCTTATAGAAATCAGCTGTAGACAAGTGATCAACTTTGAAGTAACGAAATCAGAGATTGGACACACACTATGGACGGAAGCATTATGAGGAGATGTCAGCGAATGCCGGACAACCTTGGAATCAACTATGAGAGACTTGATTGAACGATACTGTCCCCTCAAGTAACATCCAAACAGAAACAAACCGAAATGGCTGACAACATTGGCTAAGAAGGCTATCCGAAAAAATCGCAAGCTGTGGAAAATCTTCTTACAAACGGGAGCCCAGAAAAACTTCAGGAAATCAGACAACAACGAACCTTATGCAAAATACATATCCGAGAAGTACGAGCTTCTTATGAACTGAAGCTCCTTGAAGAGGCGCAGCAAAAATCTAAAGCATTATATGCATATATCAGGAACAATACGAAAAACCGGGACCATCTGGCAGTCTTAAAGTGCAAAAATAACCAAATTGTGTGCGATGGCTTTCAAATATCCGAGCTTCTTTCCGAGTTTTTCCAAAGTGTCTATACTAAGGAACCACCCCTCCAGTCCTGTTCTGTTCCACAGCTCGCCAACCAACCACTTATAAGCACAGTATTTTTTACACCGCAGTCAGTTTTAGCAGAGTTAAATAAGCTAGATCCGGCCAAGTCACCTGGACCAGATGAGATCCCAGGTGTACTCCTACGTCAGCTAGTTGAAGAATTAGCAGAACCACTCTGTATAATCTTCCAACAATCGTTAGAAGCTGGCGAATTCCCTGACACATGGAAGTTGGCCAACGTCGTACCTATCCACAGGGGAGGATCATGGCTATGTCCCACCATGTATCGGCCGGCGAGTCTGACATGCATTTGCTGCAAACTGCTGAAAAAGTTAATTAAAAAATCAATTACATCACTCGATACATTCCACTGTCACATCACTCCAGTTGAACATGGCTTCTGCGAAAAGAGGTCCTACCTCATGCCACTCGAACATTAGTCAAAAGGCATGGATGAAGGACATCCAGTAGATGTCATTTACTTCGACTTCAGCAAGGCGGTTAATTGCGTCCCACATAAGCGCCTCGTTCAAAAGTTGTCAAGAGTAGGGGTATGGGGAAATCTTCTGAACTGAATTCAAGATTCCCTAAACGGTCGTAGACAAAATGTCACTATCAGTGGCTACTGCTCAGAATTGGCACCTCTAACAAATGGAGTCCCACAGGGGTCAGTTCTTGGGCCGCTCCTATTCATTATCTATGTAAATGACCTAATACGGAAAGCGAAATCGGACATAGCACTCTTTGCAGACGATCTTAAACTTCGGAGAGCGATAAAAGATGAAGATTACGTCAAGGTACTACAAGAGGACGTAGCCAATTTGCACGCATGGAGCGAGAAATGGTGCATGAAATTCAACGTCAAAAAGTGTGCAGTAATGCACGTAGTATCAGCGAGGAGAAGAACAAATGCACCCTCGCGACAGTATCTCCTGGACAATCAACCACTTAAAACCATAGATTTGCTAAGAGATCTCGGTGTATTCATTAAAGACGATCTAAGCGTCACCACACAGTGTTCTAATGTCGCAGCGCAGACAATGTCAGTCATGAGCGCGATACGCAGAACGTTTATTCCCTTGAAAACAGATGTCTCTAACAAAGTCTGTGAAACATTTGTGCGGCCGCACTTGGAATAGACGGTACAGGCTTGGCGGCCGTGGCTTCGGAAGGACATAGATATCCTTGAAGGTGTACAACGGCGTGCTACAAAAGCTGTTCATGGCCTCAAAAAGTTTACGTACAAGCAGCGCCTGACGGCCTTGAAGCTCTATCCTCTCCAGTACAGGCACGATAGAGGTGACCTCATAGCAGTTTTCCAGTTGCTAATAGAACTTACTCTGGATGTCGACTGGAAAACGTTATTTGAAATGGCACCCAAGTCTAATCTCAGACGACATGATTACCAGCTTAGAAGGGAAATGTGCCACACAAATCAACGTTCCTCGTTTTTCTCACAGAGGGTCATTCGCCAATGGAACTCTTTGTCGGAGTATGTTGTTAATTCTCCTACCGTGAACGTGTTCAAGAGACAACTGGATACTCACCTGCTGAAAGGCAGCCCAAACTGCCGAAGCCTGATCTAACGGATTACCGAAAAGACTATACATTTACTACTAACATGATTTCAACAGATCCTTTTTTGTGCGTCAACTTGACCCCTATGGAAATTTTCACAGTCCGTATGAGGTGAACAAAGTTTTTTGCAATTATTTCGCGAATACCATACCCCTTTCGCATTTATGTTCCATTATTAGATTTATGCATTCTATTTACTAAAACTGCAAGCAAAAGTTTTGCAATTTAACTATTTTCCCTTACATCTGCAACCTCCAAATGGAGTTTTCAGGGCTTCTGTCGTTTACTCCAAATATACTGACTGATGCTGACTGACTGATTAATGCGACATGGAGACATTATTGCACATCCTCTGTCTGACATGATTCGTGCGGTAAATATTCATGTTACGTGCATGTGTAAGACGGAGAGTAAAAAGAAGTCCTGTTATGTTAAAATAGACTTTGGCCTCATCTTACTTTATATGCCTTTCCTGATATAAGTCAGTTCGCGTGATTTATGGCACTGTTGAGAAAAATGATACCTGAAAGCTTAAACAAAAATCTTATTCCTATGGCACTTCGTAGTCATCACCAGAGTCAGCTCCAAATGTGGTCAATGGAAGAACACGCGGCATGCCATTCGTTGGATTCATTTTTGATGTTATCTCTGCACTGTCAGAATTAACACTTCCAGCGTTCTTCATCAATCAGTCCCCCTGACGGTACAAGTGTCCTCTCGTTTGCTCCTTCCACGTGTCTAATTCTGCAAATCTCCATCCCCCTTGTTGAGTTTTGGCGTGCCGCTTGCTTGGCGGCTCACCTGACTGTCACTGAAATCAGTGTTCGGGTGCGCGCTTGTCAACGTAAACCGTCACACTGACAACGTAAAACTGGTCCACGTATTGGTAAGCTACGCATCGAATAGCCGTGACCTGAGCGTCTCGAGGTCTATGTATTTATTCTTTCTCAAGATAGTTTCGGCGTCGGCGAGAGAAAATGTGTGACCACTTCAGATCAACTTTTCATTGAGCTGATGTCGGCGACATTTCTCCTCCCAACTGCAGCATTTATGAGCACCGCATTCAGAGAGGTTTCCCGTTAATTTGACACTTATTTTGTCCAAATCCTTATTGGATCTCTCAAACAATTACGGCATTTACAGGGTTGCTGGTGAGTCTGTCGACCTTATAATTTGGCGCCTGATAGTTGCGTCAGGTCTTTCTGAAATTGCAACTGTGCAGAAACATTTTAGTCTCAGTTATCCAGACATGCGTCCGTACCAAATATGATTTCCATTCAGTTTGCCAAAGGCACTCTTCTAGGAATAGAGACATTTATTGCAAAGTATGCAGGCGTGAATTTCCGCAGACATATTTTAGGTTCGTTTTTCAAAGAGAGAGCATCAAGCTGGTGTGTTTTTTGTAACTGTCCCTCCCAAAGATTAATTCAATTTTCGAAACGTAGGCATATCTATTCATTAGAAGGATATCAGAGACTTCTTCGGATTTGGTGATGAGTACTTCTGGGTTTTGGCGTAATTACAAAACTTCTACAGCTGTGTCCCTCTAGGTCAGAAACGACACTTACCGATAGAGTTAGACGAATTTGTACTCCGGATACATTGGAGAACTAACTCGCCTTCATACGAAATACCCTGCTAGGAAATGGTTCCCCGATATATGGAAGATCACTCACCAAAATCGAATGTACTGACGGTGGATAAGAAAGAATTACTTCGCAGTTTGCCATTTCGAGGAGACCCGGCCTGTGACCTTCTACAACTTCGTCTAAACTCCGCTATTGCACGCACGCCGCCTGCCGCTAGAATAAGACTAATTTTCTCTAGCACCCCACTTCTCCGCCTTGGGGGCAAGGAAAAGCTACCGTTTCAGACCTCCTCAATGTGCATCTACGCGTTCGCTTGCTCCTGTGGAGCAGGTTATATTGGTCGAACAACAAGGCGCCTATCCAGGATGATGCGAGGGCACCATCCTGCCTGGTTATATCAGGGCGAGGAAAAGTCCAGTTCTAACGCCGCTTTCACTCACTTGATTGACAGCAGCCACCAGGTAGACGTCAACCAAACATTCCGTGTCATACATAAAGTGCCGACAAGACGCTTCAAGTCCCTACGTCAACGGGTACCTGCGACAGCGGAGGCAGTGGCCATAGGACTGACGAATTCAGCCTTGTGCTCGCAGACGGCCTTCATTAAAGTCCTCCTACTACCCTGGTCAAAGCTGAGTCATGGAAGTTCCGACCCGCACCATGACACGTCGCGCCACAGCGACGAAACATAAGCACTATCACACCCCGCTACCTATTCCCCTCCCCCTCTCCCCCTTCCCGTACCACTGACAGAAACTAGACTATAATTATTCCGCTGTCCCACAAATCTGAACATATTTACCCCACGTTATGACTGCTGTTCATAAGTTGTTTTACTTCTCAAATTTCGCTGTCCTACCAAAACCTATGTTTATGTACTGACCTGCAAAGTATAATCGAAAACGGACGTTCGCTGACTTGAAAGTTCTTAAAGCGGTATTTCCCCTGCCATGCATTTGTGTGTTTGCCTGTTCTCAGGCGTGCAGATGGACTGCCTTGTACTTTTTACGGGTTATTTAGGAACAGAACCGCCATTAATGCAAAAAACGTTTCAACAACGGAGGCGTTAATCACATTACGTTTGAACCATCCAATAT